AGGCTTGAGAAAATGCAGACTGGAGGATATATCTATTGTTTTCCCTGCTAGACACCTTATGTTTTGGGAATTGTACCACAATTTCTGCAAATTGCCCTTTCTATCCATGCAGATGCAATGGGAGCTTCTATATTCATTAATATCCCTACGTATAATTAAACACTTGAACCACAAGAGGCCGATTGTAATTCCTTGATGCCTAATAAAAAGGGTAATTTTGGGTGTAGCTCATACCTTAGGATATAAAACTCAGAAGTTGTCAACAACCGTGATTTCTGCTGCTGGAAAAAGAATGATTATTAATAGTACTAGATAAAAAGGAAAGATGCAGAGAAGAGAAGTAATTAGACAAAGATGATATTCCAATTCCAGACAGAGTTTATATCTGAGGCCCTCCACATTTGTCTCTTTTCCCCATTAACAATCAAGGATTACTATAATTAATTTATTTATAACTAAGTAAAATTAATTTGGGTTTCTGTTACCTGTACCCCAAAGAGTCGTATCCAATACATCTACTTATCTGTATACTCCTTGGTATATGAATCTTATTGTCCCTAGGGATAGACAGGCAAATCTACAGAGTGAACAGAGTCTCCTGAGATGAAAGAGATTGAAGTCATCACTCCCTTTTTTTTCCTGAGGTGCAACATTATTGAAACGTTTCTGTTGGATTTAAGTGGATATTCTGCTGTCAGCTGGCAAGAAAAGATAGCATAATAGAGAAAGAAATTTGAATGGATGACTAAATTTCAGCCTAGGATGACCTGTGCTCATTTATTGTTCAGAAACTGGATAAAATATAAGACAGTTCCAGCACTGTGAAAATTTCTTTAAAAAAATTACTGTGTGGGCATGTTGGGGGCCAGGGTGCATGGGTCCACTAAGGTACAGTGTCATTGGGAGCTCAAGCTCAGGGTGGAATAACTGAATCACATATAGCATAACAGTGGAAAGAGAGTTTTCTTGTTTTTCCTCACCTTAAAAGCTATTGCCAGAGTAGTGGCACACGTAGGTAAATACACCAAACGAGGGCATTGCATCAGATCATGGAGGATCTTTTGTTTTCAATAGCAGTGAGGCAGCAACATCAGCAAAGCAAAGGAGAATGGGACAATACATGAAGACCGAGGACTACTTAGATTATGTAGGGTTTTTTCCTCTGTACAATAATTGTAACTGTGACACCTTGAACTGAGTAAAGCTCCAAGAGTAGATGGACCTACAGTCAGAATGTACAGTTGTATCAAGAGAGAACGTTTCTCTCAGCTGTGTGGTAGGCACTCAGGTCATTTGAATTGATATCCAACAACCATTACACCGATTACAAATGGTAAAGTTAAGGTACACAATTTGTCATACAATATGTCAAATATTGACATAAATATGGCAATATTTATGACATAATATTAACATAAATATGACATGTTTTAAAATACGTCAAATATTTCACCACTTTAAAGTCAAATAATCCATGTAAAAATAAAAACTACCAGAAATGTATCAATGTATTATAATATTTGACTTCAGACAATGTGGCTATGTGGACTTTCTTCTTCCCTTTACTTTTCCATATTAAAGGAATTTTATAATCAACATGAATAACTTAAAATGGGAAAATATTTTAAGTTTTTTGAATACAACATACCATTTAAAATTAATACTTTAATGAATAATTATAGTTGTCTGAGAAAAAGTTAACCTCAAAACATTGGTGACATTCACGTTTAAATATCTATGCATGATGAATATCACAAAGAAAATATCCCGAAAGTAAAATATAATATAGAATGAGAATTTTGATAGTTTGAATGCTTGTCAAATTCTGTGTCATATATTATTTTTTTCCACAGAAAAAGTAGCATGACATTTTAATCAGTAACCTCAGAGACATTAGTACTGTCTGCGTGAATCCCAAGCAAAATTGGTCATTTTAAAATAAACACATTTAAAAAATAAATCTTTACTATTTTTGGAACTATCACTATGTCAGCATGTTGCCTTTTATGGAGTTTGATGAAGTGCTATTCACTGTCAGACAATACTAGCTGTCAAACTTTGCTAATAACATATATGAAGGAAATAGTTTAGTTGCAGAGCTGTTAACACCTGCGAGACACAAGTATACCATCAGATTATTTAATTTGAATGTGGACTGTGCCTATTAAAGTTTAAGTTTAATCTTTATATCATTAAGGACTCTTGATTTAAGTGACAGGAAAGCAAATCCGAAGTATTTAAGCAAAAAAGAATTTTTGATATATGTAAATTTAAAATCTGAGGATGTATCTATCTATATATATATTTCTTCAACCAGGAAGAACCTAATCTCTCTTCTTCATCTCTATCTGCTTTCCTCTGTGCCAATTCCATTCTCTGACATGCTTGTTCCTCATTCTGGCAACATAGCTACATCTTTATAAGTCCAAGTTCAGTGGAAAAGAGGAAGCTTTTTCCCTATGAATATGCATAAAAGCCCAGGGCCTGATTCTCACTCCAGATCTGTCACAAACTCATCACTGAATGGATCACTGGTACCAGAAGACAGATATAGTGCAGATTAGCCTAGATTATGGCATGGTAACAAAACTCTCAAATCCCAAGGGCTTACACAACAATCTTTGCATCTGTCGTGGCCATCAAAGGTAGGCTGCTTCTTGGTCATCCTCACTCTAGATAGAACAGCCACTGTTCAGTTACTATGATAGTGGCAGAAGAAAGATCTTTGGCTAGACCCATATTAGCAATTAAGTGCTTGGCCTCAAAGTGACACATTTTTTTTTTTCATTCACATCATTTACTGGAACTAGTCACTTGGCCCCATTCAACCACAGAGTCCAGGAAGTGTAACCCTGTCATATATTCAGATCAGGGCGAAATTGGATATTCTGGTGAGGAGCATTAATGAATGACAAATACACTATTTGCCTTAGGTTATATACCCAATGGTCCTGGGATTAGGGACAGCCCCACCACCCTTGGGAGCCTGTCGGTCTCCACAGATAATTTAGGTTTTCGACAGAAGAAAAAGTGAATGAATGCTATCAGAAAAAAAATTACATTCAAGTCAATTTCTAGTAAATGACCAACATTCTGGATTCAGTGAGAGTGTAACTTCCTGTGTGAATAAATTATTAACTTCCAAGGGTTACAGAATTCACCACATCTGTGGTTATAACCCAGTAGCATAAAAGTAAATGTTATTTTTCCCCTAAGCTCCTAATTTTAATCTAGCTGATCCCCTGAAGTAACCAATACAGAGTAAGAAGTTTTCAGAGTAGACATTTTAAATCAAGTTCAGTTTCTAATCTGAATCCATGGGTCATAGGACACGTCAACCTGTGAAAGTAAGTTGGTTTTTAAGCCTTTAACTCTAGTTCACTTCACAAATGAATATATGAAATTCACATTCCGGTCTCCATTCATATACCATGGCTCTGTCTCTTTGTGGAGTGTAGGTAGCATCATTAGACTAGGTATTTTTCCCCAAAGATGTTCAGTATCAGGGACTTTTCTTCCTTTAATTGTACAGAACAGATGTTCACTTAAACAAATTCAAGAAAAGAGTTTATTGTGAGGCTAAAATAGTGAACCTCTGCTTTCTCCATCTCTAGGACTATATGGATCCTCTCCTCTTGATTTTTCTCCTTTTCTCTCTTAGCATCTATTTTTCCTTTCTGAATAATCTTTCTGCTTATTAATTTTCATTGACCAAGGTACCACAGAAACAGAACTGTGACAAGTTACAGTCCCTGGACCACTGAGTCAAATTCCAAGAAAGATAATCAAATTGACTGGCTGTTGGAAATTGGTATACTGTTAGTCACATGAGCTGTGGTTGGGGAAAAATATCACATGGCACATATAGTCAATTTCTTCAGGGCCTTTGGGTGGGGCAGGCTACACAAGAAGGAAAACTGTACAAGAAAGTAAATTGGCTGTGCCTACAGTAGAAAGTAGAGTTAGAATATTAATACTACTTATGCTCACTACAATTATAAGTGCTTTACAAATATTAATTCATCTAATCCCATGATATTGGTACTTGTGTTAGTCCATTTTCATGCCACTGATAAAAATATATCCAAGACTCGATAATTTATAAAGAAAAAGAGGTTTAATGGACTCACAGTTCCATGTGGCTGGGGAGGCCTCACAATCATGGTGGAAGGTGAAAGATATGTCTTACATGGCAGAAGGCGAGAGAGAATGAGAGCCAAGCAAAAGGAGAGACCCCTTATAAAACCATTAGATCTCATGAGACTTATTCACTACCACAAAAACAGTATGGGGGGAAACTGCCCCCATGATTCAGTTGTCTCCTACCAGGTCCCTCCCACAACATTTGGGAATTATGGAGCTACAATTCAAAATGAGATTTGGATGGGGGCACAGCCAAACCATATCAGTACTATTATTATTTTCGTATGATAGGTAAGAAAACAGATTAAGAGAAATGAAATAATTTGCTCATGGTCGTACAGTTCATAAGAGGCAGAGCCATCCAGGCTTTGAAACTGGGCAGTTTTGCTCCTGGGTTTGTGCGCTTACCTTTTTTGCTTTACAACCACTGTTTGCTATTCTAGAGTATCTGGGTTTACATCAGTGAGTTTATTAATGTTTTTGGGTACTCTCTTAAATCTATTTTGCCAGTTGTAAAAAGCTTGTCATTCTCCAAAGCTCATCTCAAATATTAGCATTTTAACTTTGCAGGCTTCCCGAGCCTCTTGCTTCTGCTCCCAAACCACCGTGTACGTTTCTTTAATTATCACACAGGTCACCTTGTGCTGTAATTAGATAATACTGTGTTACTACGTGCTTCTGTAGGACAAGGGTTATATAGTTTGATCTCTGTATTTGTGGTGCAAAGCATAATTACTGGCACATAGTATGTACTTAATGAATTGTTATTAGTTCATTCACAATGAAAGAATGAATGCATTAAATAATATTTATACCGTGTAAATTGTACCAATATATCTTCTGTTACCATCATATAGGACAAAAAGTGCCTCCATAAGAAAACCTGGGAAAAATGCCAGTGAATGTTTGAAATTACTGGGATTCAGAAGCCAAGACAGTGGTTGGTGTGAGCTTTATGATGTTGTTGTGAAAACCATACAGAGTGGGTTGATATCAGTTGAACTGAATGAACATTTGCAGAGGTAATACAATAACAAACAATTAAAGTTGATGATACTCTTTTCTGATGGTCATAAATGGAGTTTATAGAAATGGAATAGTAAGATTACATTTTAATCCTTCAAATGGAAATATTAAGCGTTCTTTAAAGGATACTTAAAATGCAAACCAGAATTGACACGGATATGCTATCTGTAATTTCATTTATGATAGTTAAACAAGTGCTTTTGGAAAGCACTCATAACTACAGGTTTCTGCTAACTCCAAAATAGTTTTAAAATAGCACCTTCATTTCTGAAATTCCATGGAGATAGTAATTAACTGTTCATATTATGCATATCTTATAACTATGTATAGATAAGCGGAATTTGTTACTTCAGTGCCCTCATTTTGCTTTCTCATTTCCATGTTTTCTAGACAGCCCATTATGAGAAGAGTTTTAGACAGATTTAAGGTTCATGAAGGGTAGCCACTCATAGAGACAGGTGATCATGTACCTAAAGATAGCTTTTATTTCATAATGGGAGGTTTTACATTTATGATTTTCTTGAATCCAGTTTCCTAGGAATAGAGTCTGAGATGAAAAGCAAGTGATTCATTGAAAGAGAGCTCTTGGGTAAATCCTGTAGGGCAAAGGAGGAAGATGGAAAAAATGATGGTTTCAGATGAAGTATTTCTGTAGCCTGACACCCTCTGGGGAGCTCTGCAGTACGAGTACCAAGGTGGCTCACTTTGCATCCCCACATTGGTTAGTCCTTGTCTGTGGATGTAGGGCTACTCTGGGTGAGGGCCTCTTTTAGGCCAAATCACTGGAGAAGAATTTGAGAACGGGTATCCAGTCCGGGGAAAAAGGTCTATATTAGTTTGTTAAGGCTGCCGTAACAATGTACCACACACTGGTGGCTTAAACAACAGAAACTTACCATTTCACAGTTCTGGAGGCCAGAAGTACAAAATCAAGGTGCTAGCAGGGTTTGTTCTTTCCAAGGGCTGTGAGGGAAGGAGCTACCCAGGCCTCTCTTCTTGGCTTGTACATGGCCGTCTTCATGGTCTCAGGGTGTTTTCTCTCTATGCATTTCTATGTGTTGAAATTTCTCTTTTATGACACCAGTCATACTGGATTAGAGAAGACCCTAATGACTTCACCTTAACCTGATTAGCTCTGTAAAGTCCCTATCTCCAAATAAGGTCCCATTCTGAGGTACCAGGGGATACTACTTCAACACATGAAGGTGTATAAGTGCAGAGACGGTGACACATAATGCAGTCCCTACCAAGGTCCATCCTAACGATCCTTCCCACGTACACAGAGATGCATATTTCAATCCCCATTTAATTATGGTATATATTCTGCATCCTATGGAGAGTCAATAAATTATTGTGCTCATCTTTCTCTTCTATACTTTAAATATGCTCTTTTGTAATTCTAATTAAAATATAACTTAAAATATGCTGCCATGTTTAGAGCTGAGCTGAGACTGTATGACTTCTTCATTTAAGAACATGTTTTAGAATTTAGTTTGATTTGAGCTGGTTTCTTTTTTATTTCTTTCTCTTTTTTTAATAGAGATTGAGTTTTGCCATGTTGCTCAGGCTGGTGTTGAACTTCCAGGCTCAAAAGATCCACCCTCCATGGCCTCCCAAAGTGCTGGGATGCCTCCCAAGTGACGTGAGCCACTGTGCCCAGCCTGAGCCGGTTTCTTGAAGGCCAAGAGTTTCTTTACAATCATTAATGAATCTAACCTGTTGGCCTTGAGAATACTTGATTTTAAAAGACGTCTGTTTGATAATGACTCTTTGCTTGGGTGTTATTAGGTATCAGTGATGTTCTTGATGCTGCGTTTTTCCCTCGGGTCTTACCTCTTTCTTCCATGCAGGTTTATTGTACTTCACCTCTCTTCCACCATGGACAATAGTCATTTGGTTACTTTTGTGAAATCTTTAGAGGAAGCCATGCTCAGCACCACTGCCTGCATAGTGCTGTCTCACCAGAAGGACAATCCACATAGAATAGCTGTTTTAGTGGTGCCTTCCAAAGATTTAAGCCAGGCGCTTAAGAACCTGCGCTTGGAAGGGTTTGGGGGACCTCCAGAGCCATCTCGTCATTTCCAAGTTCGAGAAGGAGAACAACTTCTTTTAAGATTTACTGGAAACATATTTGCTTCAAGTACGTATAAAGAAATCTTTTTATATATTTTATGGGCTATAAGCCACAAGCTCTTCAAAAGAGTTTGCTAAACTTGTGTTACTAAGGAAACCTTCAGAGGATTGACGAGAGACTTTAGGAAGTAGGAAGAGAAAAAGACTTATGTATTATACTTCTTACATTCCCATTTCTTTATTTTCTACTTAGAGCATGCATGTTCCTTTACAGGAAGATTCTAAGTGATACTTTTTAGAAACAGCCTTTTCCACAGTTACTATCTGAATCCAAACTAGGATCATATCTTTCCTACGACAATAAAGTTGTCTTCTAAGTACTTCCATTATTGGCCGTATGAAATCAATTACCATGTGGTAATAAGAGTGATCATTTAAAAACATAAATCATACTATATTATACCAGTGATTACAACCTTATTTTTACCTCCTATTCTATCTAAAATAATATCCAAACTCTTTAAGATGTTTTATAAAATAATATCCAAACTCTTTAAGATGTTTTACAAAGAATCTAACCTGGGCATCAGTGGACTCCCAAAAGATATGTGAATAGATCTATATTTCAGTATAATTGCCATATTTTTAATTCCATGTATTTTATTTTATATTTTTCAAAGACTACTCTGAGAATCAATGGGCAGTTTTCAACAAACTCTAAAGGAGTCTATGGCAAAAAAGAAATTAAGAATAATTGATCTAGGCTGGGTACATGGCTCACCCCTGTAATCCCAGAACTTTGGGAGGCTGAGGCAGGCAAATCACTTGAGGTCAGATGTTCAAGACTGGCCTGGTCAACATAGTGAAACCTCATCTCTACTCAGTTAAAAAAAAATTAGTTGGTGTGGTGGCAGGTGCCTGTAATCCCAGCTACTGGGAGACTGAGGTAGGAGAATCACTTGAAACTGGGAGGCAGAGGTTGTAGGTTACAGTGAGCTGAGATCATCTAAATGACATACGTACCTTGCTTACTTCTTTTCCCGTATTTCTCTAGTGTTATTTTTGTTTTCACTCTAACTCTTATCACAGTTTGAAATTATTTAATTAACTTATTTACTTTTTGTTCATATAGTTATGCTATGTCCTTTACCCTTCACCAGAATGAAAACTTCATGAGGGCAGTGACCATGTCTTTCTTGTTAATACATCCTCCGAGCCTAACATAGGAACTGGTATATCCAAAGCTTTTTTTTTTTCTCTTTACAAAATGCTTTATTTTTGATATCAATCCAACTAAACATTGATACAAGTAATGTATTACCAGTTATTGTACACCGTAATCAAATACACTGAAGAAATATCATTGACTGATAAACAAACTATCACCTTCATTTTCTTCTGTACAATGTTTGATAGACTTGTATCTAGAGAGTGATTTCAACAATGAGTTTTTCAGCCCTTGTAGTCTCCAGTGTCTATTGTTGCCATCTTCATGTCCATGTGCATCTAAGTTTAGCTCCCACTTATAAGAACATGTAGTATTAGGTTTTATGTTTCTGCATTAATTTGCTTAGGATGATGGCTCCTAGTTGCATCCATTTTGTTGCAAAGGACATAATTTTGTTCTTTTTTTGTGGCTGCATGCTATTCCATGGTGTATATATACCACATTTTCTCGACCCAGTCCACTGTTGATGGGCACCTAGCTTGATTCTATGGCTTTGCTATTGTAAATAGTGCTGCAATGAACATGCAAGTACTTTTGATAAGTGTGTAGTGAATGAATGATTATATAACAGTGATGAGGAAAGCAAGCAGGATGAATATGAGAGGTGGCAGGAGAGATTAGAGAAGTGAATGAATAGATGAGACTAAAGCGGTCAAAGGAAAGAGATGAAGAGAAAGAGAAAAGGAAGAAAAAGAACATGAAGAGAAAACAGCTGTGTGGGAATAGAAAGCAAACGTTCTTTGAAAGAGTTGCCATCACAACAATTTCTTTTTCATTAAGTCAACACCTTCCTCTTTCTAACTGCTTGCCCTGCGGTGAAATAGAGTCTAACAGGTGTGTGCATAAAAATGAGGTGAGAGGGAAAATTCAGGACAGATTTTATGAAGATTTCTGGCCCTGGAGGCTTTCTACATTGACTTGAGGGGATGTGCTCTGTTTGTTTATAAATTAATATGGATCCCATTTATTTTATTATGCCTATTTTCTCTCTGATTCAAGAAATAGCTCCAAGCCTCATTGGTTCTTTTTTGCTTCAAAGAAGGGACAAGGCTTGAAGCTGATGCTGCCCTCCCCACTTTTTTGATATCTCAGGAATAAGTGAGACCTAAAATGTCCCAATTTTAAGTGTCTATTCTACTCTCACATACAGGATCTCAGCATCTGAACCAGCTGAAAGGACTTAGTGAGCAAGTGACAAAGATGGCAGAGAAGGGGGCAGGGAAGAGAGAGGAGAGAGAGGAAGGAAGGGTGGAAGAGGCCCCTTCCTACTTGGCTTCCGGAGCAGAAACCACAGCGTCCACCCTGGAGAAATCTCTCTAATGAGATATAGTACTAACCAGAAGTGTCCCACCCAAACTAATGATGCAAATGATTTTCCTGTAATACTGTGACCAGCAGCTGTGTTTACCAACCACCCTAAACAGGAGTGCATTACTGTTCTACTCACAAGCAGTGGTACTGAATATCCCACTGCCTGCTGTGGAGACTGGGGAGCACCTGCTAAACCAAGAGCATCCAAGGCAGCCAGCACCTGTGCAATTCCTCCGTATAAGGGATGGGGAAGAGTTCGTCTTCATTCAAGGAAAATGAGTCAGGCAGGATACCCAGATCCTAGGTTTGCTTTTCCTAGGGAGACAGGCTCAGATCTGGAGCCTCACTGGGTTTTTCTCTGCCTAAGAGGGACAAGATCCTCAGTAAACAATTGATACCTCATCCTGGTAAAAGAATTGATCCATCCTTTTATCAGGGCCTAGAGTAGTCTCTGTGAATCTCAAAGAGATAAAGCTAGAGATTCTCTGCCTGGAGGATTCTCCTCGCCCTCCCCATCCCCACCCTCACCCCCAGTTCTCTCCTGCTGTATCTTCAGGTCTCACCTTAAAGATCACGTTCTGAGAAGCTTTCTCTGTCCTTCCTGATTATGTTAGAACTTATTTTATTTTTTATAGTTCTATTATACTTTTGCAGATCCTCCTTTTTTCTTTTGTGGCCTCTGTCACATGCAATTTTCTATTCGTTCATTTAATTGTTTGATCAACTCCAGTTTCTCCTACCACAGTCCCATCCATGGAGGCACTGTCCTGTTGGCGGTCAGCATTCAGTCCCCACACCTAGGACAGAGTCTGACAGTTAGAAGAAATTCAGTATTTGTTGAAAGAAATGAAGACTAAAGTTTAGAAAAAAACATTATAATATTAAGCGCAATTATAAGTATTTAAAACTTTAATTAATAAATTTAGATTACTGCCCTTTGAAAATGCCAAAATCTCTCTATTCACTTATAGAGAATATGAATGGCTTTTCAGTGAAGGTCACAGGACACGGACTATATTTCCATCTCTAATAGGAAGGAAGATGGATAGATGTGTCCTTTGGTTTTTATAATGGTTTTTGGCATTCTTCTGGACACAAGCTACAGCAAGCTTTCATTCTCTAGGTGAGAGTTGTCAGTTTAGCACTTGGATTATTGCAAGATAACCAAGCCCCCACTGCACACAAAATCCAGAAAGTACCAGAAAGTGTTTTAATATGATTTTATATAATGGCAACATAGCATCACCCATAACATCTAGTAATGCCCTATCAGGTCTGTCTTTTAAAGTTGCCCTGAATGCCCTTTGGCCTAGGGCAGTGATTTTTCTAGATATTCTATGGGATGTGTCTCTACATGTATCTGTACACCTACATAATAACCATTCTTTAATTTACTAAACAAAAATTTGTTGACCTTATGTATATTAAAGTCTAATGAAGAAAGACAGAGAATAAGCAAATAAGTAAATAAAATGCATAGCTTAATGTGGGCTGAAAAGTGAATTATAGAAGAATAAAGAAGGGAAAGGATAGGGGGATCTTAAGGGATGTAACAGGCTTGCAGTTTTATCTCAGGGAAGACCATTCTGGGAAGGTGACATTTAAAAAAAAAAGAAGTTTCTAAGAGGGTGAGGAAGCAAGCCATAATCCTATCTCAGGGGAGTTTATCCCAGGCAGAGGGATTGCCAGTGCCAGTGAACTGGGTGGAAACCTCCCTTGTGTGTGTGGGGAACAGTGGGAGCCTGAGATGGCTGGATCAGAGGGAGTGAGCACAGGTTGTGGAAGATGAGGTGAGAACTGATCATGCCTTGTAGGCCATTGGAAAGACGGCCTTTTCTGCTGAGTGACTTGGGGAAACATGAAGGCTTTTCAACAGAGGAGTGATCTGAGTTAGATTATAACTGCATTGAGAATAGGCTTTAGAGCAAGAGGAGAAGCAGGGAGACTAATTGCAGTAAACCAGGTAAAAGATGGCATGGCTTAGAGGTAGAGCTGGTGGAGAATGGGTTAGAATATAGAAATACACTGAGCCAGTGGTTCTCATAGGGTTTTTCTGGTTTCCCGGACTGCTAGCCCTTTCAATTTTTTTATCTGACTTTTCTGAGCAAAAGCATTTATTCTTGCATTTGTATTTTCTATGTCATCAATGAAAAATATTTAATGCCCATTATTGAGAAGAAAATATATTACTATAAGGGACAGCAGGTAATCCACAAAATATAAGTAAATTTTCGAACTTTTTACATGACAGGTATTTACTAAATAGCTACTATCTCAAGACACTTCTAGGGGACTATATACGTAAGATATTGAGAAGAAGAAAAAGATTCTCAGGAGGTCAACTAGTGCTTGATTTTACACTTTGGATCTGGAATGAATGAGTTTTTCTTTTATTTCTCCTTTAAATGTGCCAGTGAGGGAGAAAAAAACAGAGTAGTGCAATTTCTTCATGCAACTTCTATTTTTTTGGATCTATTTTTTTGTTCAGGGACCAGACGTCTTTAAAATAAAATATTATGCCTTAACAACAATGAAACTCCAACTTTAAAAAATTACAAAATGGTTTCTGTTTACAACATGAAGATTTTGCTATTTACTGTTAGTAAATCCTCAATAATTTCATCCCTACTTCATATATAAATGTGATCTTTAGAGAGTTTCCCTAGAGATCTTTAGCTTTAAAAATTGGTAAAAGTTTTAGATCTCAATTGAACCAGAGTGGCTATGCCTCACCCTCAATCCTTATATCCTCTGTATAAATCATTTCTTATGAATAATTGTGCACCCAACAGAGAGTATAATGTCTTTCAAAAGGTAGAAGGGGAAATTTACTAATTGGTATTCCACAGGGACCAAAGTAGTAAAATTTTTCTTGATAGCACTCTAGTAGTATAGAAGCAGAAGATAGCCAGGTGTCACTCCAGTGAGCTGGAAACTCCAATTTACCTAATTTACTATTTAGATAACATTTAAATTACTCCAAATAATCCACTCTTTTTTTTTTTTTTTTTTTTTTAACTAAAGTGAGACTCTCTTAAGAAGACAATCCCTGGCTAGTCATTCGTCTCCTAGGAATCTGTTTTGTTTTTTTTTTTTTGTTTTTTTTCTCTTCTAAGTAGCCAGGTTGCCTCTCAAATATAAAGTTTTGCAAAGGGATCTACTTCTACACCTTCTGTAATCTGGAGTTATTCTATTTCTAGATTTAACTGAGCTTTAGAAAAATCACCAAAATGACCTCAAGCAGTCAGGACCGGGGGAAGGGTCCTGGTATCATCTACATCTCTCACTGAAGTCTTTGTTCCTTGGGCAAAATGGAACGTTTTCCATGAGAGAAAACTCTGGGCAGTCAACTGTATGTTGACTTACAGTAGACAAAGGGAGTTTCCATGTAGACATGAAAGCTAAATCTTGGCCAGATGTGGTGGTTCCTGCCTGTAATCCCAGCACTTTGGGAGGCCAAGGAGGGTGGATTGCTTGCCTTCAGGAGAGTTCGAGACCAGCCTGGGCATCATGGTGAAACCTCGTCTCTATGAAAAAAAAAAAAAATAGCCAGGCACGGTGGCACACATCTATAGTCCCAGCTGCTTGGGAGGCTGACGTGGGAGGATAACTTGAACTTGGGAGGTGGAGGGTTTAGTGAGCTGAGATTGTGCCACTGTGGAGCTGTGTCATCCCAGCCCGGGTGACAGAGTGAGGCTCAGTCTCAAAAAAAGAAAAAAAAAGTTTCATCTTGACGTTTCTTTAAAAAAATCTGGGTTTTTTTTGTTTTTGGTTTTGATTTTGGTTTTGTTTTTTGTGTGTGTGCAAATTCAAAATAGTGCAAGAATCCTGCCTTTTATCATTTAGTATCATTGCTGTCATTTATTGAGCACTTACTGTGTACCAGGTCCAATGATAATTATTTTATCCATATTTTCTCATTTCATTTCCTAAACAATCCTAGGAGTTAAGCTTTATTTCTCTTGTTTTAAGGGTAAGGAAGCTAAGGGAAGCTAAGGAAGGGTAAGGAAGCTAAGGGAAGTCTCTAAAAAGCTCAGAGATCTGAAAAGCAATGGACAAATATTAACAGATAAATATTACAGAATACACAAATCGTAGAGGCTGGACTTGAACCTAGATCGATACATCCAAGGCATATTATCTTAAATGCTACATTATAGCTTCCTACAAGTTTTACAAATTTTGATGCAGACATATATTGCCTTAGGAAACATGGTAGTGTTTATTCTGCCATTGAAATAACAAGGTAAAATATTCTGATTGTCATGGTAAAACCCCAATGAGTGAAATGTTATGTTCACAAAAACTCTAGAATTTTCAGTAAGGAGTTGATAAAACATTTGCATATTATCACTTTAGGAGAATCCGTCAGGTTTTCATAGAAATTTCATAACACAAATTCAATAACTATCACACCTGAAAGTTCTAGATCAACACTGTCCATTTTCACAATTGTGGAAATGTTTTACATCTGTGCTATTCATTATGGGCCTTTATGCTTATGCTGTCACTGAGACTTTTAAATGTAGGTAGACTGAGGAGTTAAATTTAATTATATTTACTGTTCATTAATTTTCATTTAAACTTAAATTGCCACATGTTATAGGAGAGTGCATTTCTGGAACGTCTATTGTGAGGTCACAATATGAATAGTTAGGGGAAAGGAGAAAGATAATTCTCAACGGGTGAAAATAATTTTCTAAATGTTGCAAAAGCTGAATATTTCTAGTAGTTTCTGGTTATATCAAAATGGAATAGAGAAAGAAAAGCTAAAGATTATTTGGTTTAGAAGCAGCCAGAGAGCACCTGGCCCAACAACCGATGAGAAATCTTTTGAGCAATCCACATGGTCTCTGCCTATTGTTCCTTTGTCAAGTTATGTTTTGACAAAAGATAATGATACACAAAAGTTTTAGTCATATTTTTAAAGTAAAATAATTATTTGGATTTTTAAAAATTAAGTAACACAAAGTGATACATCTTTTTGTTGTTGTTGTTGTTTTTAAATTAATTGATTTATTTTTTTTGAGACGGAGTCTCCTTCTGGAGCCTGGGCTGAAGTACAGTGGCGCGATCTCTGCTCACTGCAAGCTCCGCCTCCCGGGTTCACGCCCTTCTCCTGCCTCAGTCTCCCCAGTAGCTGGGACTACAGGCGCCCGCCACAACGCCCAGCTAATTTTTTGTATTTTTAATGGAGACGGGGTTTCACCATGTTAGCCAGGATGGTCTTGATCTCCTGACCTCGTGATCCGCCCGCCTCGGCCTCCCAAAGTGAGAGATCTTAATGGTAATAAATGCATTTTACTTCTATTTAGGTAATGGGAAAGATTATGGAAAAGACTACACACTTATTTTTCACTTGCAAAGAAAACCTAGGCTGGAACTCCAAATCAAAGAAGTGGACGAATTTGGAAACTATAGCTGCCCTCATTATAAAGGCACCATTGTCGTTTATAAAGTACCTAAAGGAAAGATAGTCCCCAACTTGAATCAATCTCTCGTAATTAATGAAAACCATTCTCAGTTGCCAATTTGCAAATTACCATTGAAATTGCCAAAGGTGAGTTATTTTACTTTTCTAATTATTACATTTTGTTACTTATTTAAAATTCTGTAACACAATCAGTTTTGCAGGCATAGAGACACACACAGTTAAAAGAAAAGGTAAGAATAGAGTTAATAAAGAAGGAGTAGGTAGGTCCAATTTTAGAGTATCAGAAAACGTGTTAGGATTTCTCCTTTTGTTCGTATCAGCCTTTCTAACATGAATGCTTCAGATTGGTCTGGTCCTCACAGCATGTTGTTGCTAACTATGAAAATAATGTCATTCATTTTCTGTAACTGCCTCTGAGTCACTGGAAAATCATTTATGAAAAAAAAATGCATTTCAGAGCACATCATTTTAAGGAAAAGTCATGGTGAAGAGCAAAATGACCTCAAAATATTTACATTGAAACTTACCATATTCTGCGTGTTTGTTTCATGAGTTATACTTGCCTAAAATTCTTACTCATGTCAGAAAGTAGGATTAAATTATTTCTTTGAATATGTCTAACACACAAATAAATACATTTTATTGCTGCATATTACAATTTCTTTCAGTGAAACAGGACTTGGTGAATCTAAACTACATTTTTAATAAGAAATATAACTGAAAAATGTACTTCATTAATCTTGAGGTAAAAACAAACTTCTTATTCTTTAAAGAAAGCTAAAATCACTTTCCCATGTTTATATTTTTTGTGTGTATGACTAGCAGAAATGTGTTTACCATGTGGTTAGATTTGGTTCTGATTTAAAATAAATCATTAAAGTAATTTAGCAAATATTAATATTGAACTTCTGAAATAGGGGATGTGCTGCGCTAGGCTTTGTGATAATGACAGAGCTGTAAAGGATAATGCATGCCCTAAAGCTGTGTTGTTCTGAATGGTCACTACTGTCCATATGTGGCTATGGAGCACTTGAAATATGGCTAGTCTAAACTGAGATGGGCAGTAAGTTTAAGATATGCACCACATTTCCAAGACTCAGTACAAATAATATATAAACTATCTCATTAATAATTTGTTTATATTGACTACATGGTAAATTTATATTTTGGTTATACTAGGTTATATAAAATATATAAAAATTAACTTCCTCTTTTATTTTTTTAAACATTTTAGTTACTATTCATAGAATATTTTAAATTATATACGTATCTCAAATTATATTTCTATGGAATAGTGCTTCTGTAAATGAATTTATAATCCAGTGAACAAGTACACAAAACATATACACAAAATTATGTTGTAAGATAGTAACTGATTGAAGTTATATTTAGATGATATAAGCAGTGGTACTAACAGTTGGTACTAGATGGTATTAATAGTTGTTCAGAGACGGGGAATGGCTTTTCCACAATCTGTAACCAGTAGAAGTTTGTGGTATTTGTGGCATTTTATCTGAACTTTGTAAGTTGGTGGAAATTCAGCCACTGGAAATGAAGAAAAAAGGCAAGTTAGGGGGAGAAAATACAGTGCATTTGACTGGGGTGGTAAGCATAGCTTAGCAGGAATTCACAAGTTGTGTAATAACCATTGTAATAATGTCTAATATGCCAAAGGCCTTTCAAATACTTTCTATGCATTGTATCACTAAACTCTTACAAAAGTGCTATGATACATAATTGTTCTTACTTTGTGGGAAACTGACGCACAGACATTTTAGGCAACTTGCCCAGGTTCTCATGGCTAAGTAAATGGCAGAGCTAAAATTCAGACCCAAGAAATCTGCTTCCTGTGTGTTGAATGGCTATGATGCTGTCACTTTGTTAGCACATAAAGCTAGGATTACTAGTCAAAGATACAAGATGGATTTTAGGGCATCTAGGTTCCCATTTGATGTATGATGTCTGTACTATGCTTTAGTATACAGATAATATTAGAAATATTTAACAAATGATATGACCTGAACACCAACCAGTGAACTCGAAAGCAGCCCTCAGTAGGTTCCTGGTGACATTAACTTTACTTGCTGTTTTTGAGGAGATCCCGGGGTCCCTGGTAAGTACGCATAAGTAGAGGAATTGATTAAGCCGTTGATACTGAAAATGATACTTTCATGACAGTATAGCCAAACTGGTGTACATCTACTATCAGTTTTGCTTCTGTGCGTTTTCATTTCCACTGTAAGACTTTGCACCATACGGCCGTTACCTATGCATGCGGCACTTTTCCCTGAGATAGTCCCATAGCTGCTTCTTTATCATTCAGGCCTCAGCTCAGATGTCACTTGTTATTCTTATTCCCTTATCTCCCAATCTGAAGTCGCTTTTTTAACTTGTCACCCTTTCTCGATTTACTTCCTAACACCCATCATTGATTTTTTTAGATTTATTTGTTCATACATTTTCCATTTTTCTTTGCTTCTTTAAAAAGCAAACTCTGTGAATGAAGGATCCTGTCTATTCTATCCAGGTTCCTTCTTCTGTGATTAGAAAAGTGCCTGGCACATAGCAGGCACCCTAAATATCTATGACTTGATGAATAAGGGGAGGTCTATAGTTTTCTCTCCAGATTCTAAAAGTTTGAGAACTATTGACTTGAAGGAATACTCAAATTCTCTCTGTTCCATAGTTTAGAGCTTGATTCTACAAACTCTTAACTGGCACCGTAAGGCATCGATGTGGATCAACATGAAGATCTGGAGTGGAGAGGGGTACATAAGGGCTGCTCTCCAGGCAGCTCAGCCGGCACATTACTTCCAGCGAGCACCATGTTGCTGTGCTTCCATGAGAGGATGAAAGGGAGACAAGCCAGGGGTGGTTGGAATTCTCTGGCAAGAGGGTGTAAGGGCCTTACTGAGATGATGGCAGACCATGGAAAGAAGGGCCCTTATGTCAGAGAGGACAGACGTGAAGTCCAAAAATGTGACAGGAATTCAGCTTTCACTTACTAGTGTTTTCTCTGTTACCTGACTTTATAAAAGTAGCCAAATTAGTCAAGCTGAATTAGCCAACATAGATAATTTAGGGGTTTGTGTAGATTTTCCTCAGTAAAGTCTGCGTTTACGATTGTCCAGTACTTTTGCATCAGCTTCTTCTCTGCTTTGCTTCTAACACACCATTCCTTACCTGTGTGCCTGAATAATTCTTACTGAACCTCTTTCACATTGGTGCTTAAGTGCAACCTCTCCAAGGAAGCCTTTCCTCACTCCTCCTTTGTAGCAGGTTAAGTGTTCCTGGTATATGGACCTACAGCGTTTTGTACTCTCCTTATCACTGTAGTTACCATATTTCATGACAACCACTTGCTTGTTTCCTTCCCTTGTTGCTGTAATGGCTTTTCAGGGAGTCTTTTTCCTGAAATATTTTTTTCTAATCACCCCTCCTTGTGAAATTTTATTACCACAGATATATTGTGTGTCTGTTTATATACTACATATTTATCTGTGTTTTATGCATCTAAAAGAATAAGCCTTTTTGTGTCTCACCCAGGGACGAATTTTCTCTCCCCAAGGGTGACATTATCAAAATTGAGAATGCATTCAATAAACTGCGCAGGCACAGACCCTGTCCCACTCAACTCTCTATTGCCAGTGCGGAGAGATAGTACATGCTTGATAAATATTTGTGACTAACTAGATGAACAAGATAATTTCTGCAAACCTTACAATTACTCAGCCTTGAAATTGATAATCCTGAAACTATATTGGCATGTTTAAAAATAGTACATTTAAATGTCTGCTGCCTTTCATAGATGAATCTACTGCCAATAGGCCATCTGTGCTTTCTTTTTATCCCAAATGGGTTTGTATAGGGCTTTCCAAATTCACTCCCTGGGCCCTTTCTTGTGCCCAAAGTCTTCAGAAATAAGTTTGTCGGGTTGAAAAAGAATCTGTGGCTGTGGGAACTTTTTTCTGTTCAAACTAGTGTAACTAAATGGGAATTGAAACCATGACCTTTATTTTTGCAAGATGAGACTTATTTCATAAAGTTCAGAATTTAAAAAATTCACCTCAACTAAGCAGTATTAGAATGTGCTATTTTTCAGGAAATGGAAGTAGCCTAATATAGTAACAGCTTGGCATTAATGAACATGACACTATGTTGGTATTTATACATGTAGCATAAAACAGGTGAAGGTATTTGTCCAAATTAAAAGTGTTTCATGGAGAACCCACAGCAAATATTTACATATATGTATATAGGCATAGAACCACACACAAAATTATAAAGTGTGATGTAAATATACTGTATCTGATTCATAAAGATGAGAAGACATATCACTTTTACTTCATACTTGTGAGGATCTCTGTGTCTCTTATTCTACAGCCTCTGTAGTTCATTCATTCATATATTAATTAATTCAACAAACAGTGTATCCCAAAGCCTCAATGTATAGTGATGTTCTGGTTTGTAGGGTCTCATTCTTCCCTTTCTTCTTTATAGCCTGTTTTCTTTTCTTTTTTTTTTTTCTTTTTTGAGACGGAGTCTCACTCTGTCACCCAGACTGGAGTGCAGTGGCCGGATCTCAGCTCACTGCAAGCTCTGCCTCCCGGGTTTACGCCATTCTCCTGCCTCAGCCTCCGGAGTAGCTGGGACTACAGGCGCCCGCCACCACGCCCGGCTAGTTTTTTGTATTTTTTAGTAGAGACGGGGTTTCATCGTGTTCGCCAGGATGGTCTCCATCTCCTGACCTCGTGATCCGCCCGTCTCGGCCTCCCAAATTGCTGGGATTACAGGTTTGAGCCACCGTGCCCAGCCTATAGCCTGTTTTCAACTAAGAGGCAGAGTTATCCCTTAAAGCAGAGGTCCCCAATCCCTGGGCCATGAAATGGTAGCAGTCCGTGGCTGGTTAGGAACCAGGAGGTGAATGGTGGGCAAGTGAGCAATGCTTCATCTGTATTTACAGCCACTCTGCATTGCTTGCACTACTGCCTGAGCTCTGCTTCCTGTCAGATCAGTGGCGGCATTTGATTCTTGTAGGAGTGCAAACCCTATTGTGAAATGCACCTGCAAGGGATCTAGGTTGTGTGCTTCTTACAAGAATCTAATGCCTGATGATCTGTCATTGT